TCCAACCACTTGGAGGAGTCTCACTCACAACCTCCATAAGTCCCATTTCAGACTTGGGCTTGCTAGCTCTGAGAATGGCATCCCCGCCACTCAACTTTTGCACTTGATCCAAGTGCTCCACGTGTCCGATCCCATGACCGACACCCCAAGGTACCACCGATATATCAGCCCGTTACGCTAAGGCCATACCCCTTTACCTTGGTCACACCAATGGTCTAACACCATCTACATCACAGTCCCATCTCTCAAGGACTGGGCCATCCGTCCATGAGTGATCATTCCAAATCCACTCCTTAGCATCCTTAGGATGCCCGCAGACATGGGGAATAGTCTTCCCCAATATCCCTTTTCCGGTCTTCATCAAGTCCCTTTTTGCCCATGGCCGTGTTCGCCAACACTGCCACTGGATCGAGGCTTACAGGCCTGACCACTAAGTCCCACAGTCCTCTGGGACTTCCTCCCCACTCGACTGTATCCTTGGTCACTACACCAGAGGACTACTCCTCTTCCTTTCCACAGTCTGGGCCTTTGGGACAACATTTCGGAACACCGTAGCCTTACGCGGGCCTCATGGGTACTCTCCCCGCCTTCCACCTTTGGGTGCTCTAGCCATGGGCTTAGAGCAAGGTTCCGTTGAGCCACACCAAGTATCCAAGTAGGTAATGCCACCCACACTTGGATTGGGAGCATTGCCCAGTCGATCTCCCGGGGGAACTAGAGCCGGCTCTTGAACACTTCACCAAGCTACCCCGCTTGTCGGTCCGTATTCACTCTAGTCTTGGACTTCCCAGTGGTCAGCTCATCACCCAACACTGGGTCTGGCCTTCTTGGGCCCAACTGGCCTTTCCTGGGCCAAACTGGCCTTTCCTGGCCAAACTGGCTCCACTGGGCTCCAACCCCCACACTCTCCCTACTATACTTTTGGAACCCCCTGCAGCCCCCCCCCCCCCCCTGGGGGACGATCGCTTTGGGCTTTCACCCAACTGCCTGTATTAGTATTCGGTCTCGGTCCCAGTTTCGGACTCGGACTCGGTCTTGGTCTCGGTCACAGCCTCGGTCTCGGTCTCGGTCTCGGTTCCATCTCAGACTCCATCTCGGACTCCATCTCAGATCCATCTCGGACTCCATCTCGGACTCCATCTCGGACTCCATCTCGGGTCCATCTCGGGTCCATCTCGGACTCCATCTCGGGTCCATCTCGGACTCCATCTCGGGTCCATCTCAGACTCCATCTCGGGTCCATCTCGGATTCCATCTCGGACTCCATCTCGGGTCCATCTCGGACTCCATCTCGGACTCCATCTCGGGTCCATCTCGGACTCCATCTCAGACTCCATCTCGGGTCCATCTCGGACTCCATCTCGGGTCCATCTCGGACTCCATCTCGGGTCCATTTCGGACTCCATCTCGGACTCCATCTCGGGTCCATCTCGGACTCCATCTCGGGTCCTATCTTGGGTCCCATCTCAGGTCCATCTCGGGTCCATCTCAGACTCCATCTCGGGGTCCTTCTCGGACTCCACTTTAGACTCCAACTCGGGCCCCTCTCGGACTCCACTTCGGACTCCAACTCGGGTCCATCTTGGGCACTTCCACGTGTCATGTGTTTGTCCTTTTGGGTCCCTTTTTGGAGCCTCGCTTATTGCTCGCTTTGTGCTCATTCCTTGAGCACTTCGTTGGGAGTTCCACTCCCGCTCTTGACTTTTCAAGTCCGAGCTTTTGGTCCAAACGTGTTACGCTCGTTTGGCTCTCGCTTCGGCCACTACCACGTGGCACCCCTCCGGCTCCACTTTGGGGCCTAGGGATTTTGTGTCTCACATTCATCCTCTAAGCACACCCTTAATTCCTTAGGTTTGATTCAGCATTTATAAAAGGTAGCCCCGACTACTATTTCAAGGACTTATGTCCTCATCCGTATTTGACCTCTCACGGTCATTAATTCCGGTCTCAAAAACATGAGCACCAACTTTAACTATATAAAGATAATCTTGTGACTCTTTTATTGTTTTGGAGTCTTTATCTTTTCTGTGATCCCAACTATAGTTATTTATCACAGGGTACACAAGGTACACTATCTCATGGGTATTCTCGAATGCTATGCTTGGATACCTAGTGTGGCTCAACAAAACCTCACTCTAAGCCCATGTAAAGCACCTAAAAGTGGAAGGTGGGGAGAATACCCATGAGATAGTGTACCCTAGGCACCCTATGATAAATACCCACTAGTGTCTCTGGCATTTGCCATGTAGAAAGGTATCCACCCACTATTGAAATTTAGCCAAGTGTTGGGGCTGTGGCCACGTGGAAATAATTGGGCAGCGGGTGAGCGGGTGGGCGGAAGGGCGCAGCAGCGACAGATGGGAGTGGGAGTGCTGCAGAAAAAACAAAAAAAAAAGCCTAATGCCATGTCACTGCCAAATAAGTGGAGAGAGTGAATCAGGATGGTGTTTTTTTGGGCCATCCGTCTAAAGATTCTCCAGTATAGTCCGGTTCCCTAAGCTTTTGAACTTGTTTCGCGCGCATTATTCTTCTCACACAAACTTGAAGGCACGAACTCGTACTTATTCTTACGATTTTTTGGTGACACCCTGGAGCAAATGGAAGCTTCCAGCCCCTTCTAGAACATGCCCTCAGGCCATATAAGCCCATGCTCCTTCTCAATTCTGTATCCCATCACTTCTCCAGAACACCTTCTCCTTTCTCCACAATACCGGAGAGGTAGGGGGGTTTGAATCGAGTGGGCGTTTTCTCTCACATTCGTCTTCTGTCCCTCTTTTGTGATGCATCTTGTGCACTCCCTCTTGGCAGCAGCCCTGTTTCACCACACCATTGGTGATGGAGGTGTCGTTGCCAAGGAAACTTTCCTTAGCTTTCCTTGGCGCCGACACCTCTGCCATCACCAATGGCATGGTGCTTAAAAATAGTTTGGAATACTGCCAGCCAAGGAAAATCATTTGCATCAACCACAAGCAACAAAGGAAGTAAGAGAGGAGGAAGAGGAGGAAACAAGAGAACATTTTGGCACTCTCAGTGTTGCTCAGGCAAGTTTAATGTTGTTCCTACTCTGTTACTCTCCTTTGTTGGTTGTGATTAGTGCGATCTTCCATCTTCTCCAGTGCGTCGATCTTCAAGGATTTCACTTCACGCTGCTCTCAAGCCTGCCTTTCGCCACAATTTCTCCTTGAGCTCTTTCACAAGGTTGTGCTTCTTTGCTGTGATGGCTTTCAGTTGCTTGGACAAGTTCTCCTTCACCGGGAAGAAATGCTAGTGACTTCTTTCCTTCTGCGACGTCAAGCCTGTGGCCACTACCACAGCCTTCCTTTCTCGGCCACAGAGCTGCTGATTTCTTTCTCAAACCTTTCTTTGTCTGTGAGCCTCCTCACTGACGTTGTCCCGACCTCCGCAGCGCTGCTGCAGACAGAATACATTGCCACCAGCGTGTTTGCCACGGCCCACAAGCTCTGTTCTTGCTACACTCTTAGGAGGACATGTACAGGAGACGAGATGGATGCTGGGAATCTTTACTTGGACCTTTAGTGATATTAAGTTTCGCCGATCCTGATTCCATGGGCTTTGAAATCCAGCGCCCAAAATGAATGGAGCGAACCTAAACAAAAAACAATCTTAAGTTAAATGTTTAAACACAAAACTAATCTAAACATAGTAACTTTAATGCCGAGAGTTAGGGTTCTTGGCAGCTATGGAGCCTGTGATATTTGGCGACGAGGCGGTGCCTCAGATGCTTCTTCTCCTCTCCCAGGCCGCGCGGGATATCGGCGCTCTGGACCTCTCGTCTCCGCCTGCGAGGAACAAGAATCCGGTCTCCACGCCATCGAAATCCAGGTATCATCGCGCATTGCTCCGAGAAGCGCCAAGATCCAGCAACAATGCCCTGGAAGCTAGGCTTCTCCAGGGGGCCTGCTCGGTCTCTCTTAGCAGCAGGGCGGCCCAACCAGAGAGGGAGATGGATCCATCTCCATCGGCAAGGTCAAATTCGAATTTCGAGAAGTACAGGGTCTCTGGCCAGGCTAGAATCCTCATGAACAATCTCACAGTTCTAGAGCGAGCGGCGATCGGCGCTGCTGCCGGAGGAATCGCTGGCGCTTTTACCTACGCTTGCCTGCATCCGCTAGACACGATCAAGACGCGGCTCCAGACGCGAGGGGCGGCAGAGGCGTACAAAGGCTCGATCGACGCAGCGGTGAAAATCCTCCAGAGCAAAGGCCTGGCGGGGTTTTACAGCGGGATCTCGGCCGTGATCGTCGGCTCCATGGTCTCCTCCGCGATCTACTTTGGAACTTGCGAGTTTGGGAAGTCCTTCCTCTCGAAGGTGGCGAAGTTCCCGCCACTGCTCGTGCCGCCGGTGGCCGGAGCCATGGGAAACATCGTCTCGTCGGCCATCCTCGTTCCAAAGGAGGTGATCACGCAGAGGATGCAAGCCGGTGCCAAGGGAAGATCCTGGAACGTCTTAATGAGAACTCTGGAGAGGGATGGACTGAAGGGGCTCTATGTCGGCTACTCGGCAGCTCTGCTCAGGAATCTACCGTCGGGGGTGATCAACTTCTCCACCTTCGAGTACCTGAGAGTGGCGTGGCTGCGAGTCTCGGGCCAGGATAGCTTGGAGCCATGGCAGAGCGTGAGCTCGGGAGCTCTGGCCGGTGCCATCGCTGCGGCGCTGACGACCCCGATGGACGTCGTCAAGACGAGGCTGATGACGCAGTCGAGAGAGAGGGCGGCGGCGTTCACGTACGAGGGCGTGACGAGAACGCTGGAGAGGATCTGGATCGAGGAAGGATGGGCCGGGGTGACCAGAGGCATGGGTCCACGGCTGCTCCACAGCGCTTGCTTCTCGGCGATTGGGTTCTTTGCGTTTGAGACGGCGAGGTTTGAGATTCTCAAGCGCCATGTCGCCAACAAGCAAGCGGAGATGTTGGAAGTGGAAGTCGACGAGAAGAAGTGAAACAAAGTTTTGAGCTCGACCGAGCAAGCCTCAGAAAAAGTAAAGGGTCAACGGTCAATGAATACTGCTCTTTGGTCAATGGTCGCTAGGGTTCTTGGTTTAGGGTTTGATCGTAATGCTGGAGAGTCAGATGGCTGTGGTGGCAGTGGCGGCCGTGGCCGCGATCGCCGTGGGTGGAGCTGCGATCGCATTCATGTACCATTGCTGCCAAGATCAGGTGAAGCGGCAAAAGAAGGAGAAGGTTGAGAGAATCAATTCGCAATTGGGGATTCGCGACGAGGATGCGCACCACCGCTACGAGCGGCGGGAGGAAGTGGTGGAGATCGGGAAGGCCAAGCGCCCGGCGGTGAGGACCGTGGAAGAAATCAAGGCGTACTATGGCCGGCCTTCGAGGAAGGTGAGTTTTTTTTTTCTAGATCTGAGCAATGGTGTGATGGGAAAACCACAAATCGCAGGACGCGTCATCCACCGCTGGAATCGCCACAGAGGCCAAGAACAAGCTCATGGAGCGCGGGGAGAAGCTCCAGGTTTTAAGAATCCCTTGTGCTTTCCATATCAATGTTTCCATTCTTTGTGTGCTTCTATGCAGGCTGTCAACGACAAGACCCAAGAGCTTGAATCACAGGCCGAGAGCTTCGCATCGCTGGCGGAAGAACTCGCCAAGAAAATGAAGGCCAGAAAATGGTGGGAGTTGTAAACTTTGTAAATGAATTCCTCTTGTGTAAGTAAGAACAGTATCGGATTGAATTTATTTCGACCCTTTCCGCGACCGCGCGAGCAATCCTTCCACCATTTCCAATCTCTTGAACAGGACGAGCGACAAGATGAGCAATCCCAGTGACGCTCCCGTGCAAATCACGATGATCTTCCCGAAGTACATGTTATCGTCGGTTTCGTGGCCATTGGGCACATTCATGCCAAACAATCCAGTGATGGAGTTGAACACGCTGGTGATACAAAAGGTGGCGGCCGCGATCACGAGCATGGAAGTCTCCCTCTTGGCGCTCGCCTCTGCCATTCGCGACTTGGCAACCTCCTCCACGCACTCGATCGTGGATTTCTTGCAATGCTTCAATCCCTGGTTGATCCCCGCTAGGAGTGGCTTGTACGCGCAGAGAGACCTCGCGAGATCTTGGTTGCCACCATCGTCATTCTCGTAGAGGGCGGATTGAATGTTCCTCGCGATCGCGTATGTGGATGAGATCTCTTGCTTCAACTGTGCTGTCGCGATTCTAACTGTGGGGAGATCACCCACGCAGCAATTTGATGCCTGGCACCGCAATACCTCCGCGCGACCCACAAGATTGGCCGCCCGAGGGCCTAGAAATCGCCACACCTCGTCGATCCCACTCGCCAGAGCTAGAGACTGGAAAGCAGTGGGAGTTTTCCTATCGATCGACGAGTTTTCGCTGGAATTGTTGCTAGATCGAAGCTTGGACCCGAGATCCTCGATGTAGGCATTGGCGAGGCCACTATCTAGCACAAAGACCTCGATCCCGGCGATGATACAGCACAGATACTCGAGATTCATGACGATCACCCCCCAGTAATTCGCGATTGTCACCATCGAGCTTTGGGACACAACAAAAGGAGGCACCAGAGGGAATCGCTGGTTGATATCGTTGGTATCGAGTGGCCACGCCTGGATCTTTCCTGCCGAATCCATCCTTTTCCACGCCCTGGCAGACATTGCGATCGCAAAAAGGCTCCACCATTCATCAATCCTTTGTCCCTGCCCTATTTTAGATTCCGCGCCGTATTTTAAATTCGAGTCAACGGCCTCGATTCGAGCTAGGGCTAATCGCTAATCTATTTTTTCTGTTAATATATTTGCCTGTGTAAAGTATTTTCTGTTATTTTATTATTCGTAAACATAATTATAGAAAATTTTAAAGGAAAATTCAAGAATATACCATTTATATAATTTTTTTATTCTATAAAAGTTTTCCATCAAGCTGAATTCTCAAGTTCCAGGATTTCTTTTAGACATTCTTGAGGTTCTTCACTGAAACCTATTTAGCACCAAGGTAGCCTATAGCGTGTGAGCCATAAGAGATATTTTTAATGTGGAGCGAGGACAACCAATTGCTAGATTCCTCTTGCCTGTGGATGTCTCCTAAAAAATTCCTCTTCTTGCCTGCATTGTCGCACAAAGTTAGTTAATGGACGGCTGACTTAGTTAAAAGACTGACTTAGTTAAAAGAGCTCCCAGATCCCACCATAAGACAGTGCGCCAGTCAACAAGTACATGATCTTATTTCTAACACATTGGGTGAGATTCCAAACATGTGGATTTGATGCTATTCGATGATATATATGTATGCATATATCTATAACTTTGTTTTAGTGCCATGATAACAAACTTTTTGCAGATATATCTAGGATATGCTCCAATGGTAATATGCATATTTTATAAAATATAAACATATTTACAATTTATAATCATTCTTACATCTAAGCAATGTATCAGTTGTGATTTGTTTTTTCTTAAACTTTTAATTCTCTAATTCTTTTGTAGTCAATAAACCATGTTATCTACTTATCTTTAATATAAACCATGTTTAAATTCAAAACTGTTTCAAAGAAAAGAAAAAGAAAAGGAAATGTGCATCTACTACCATTTGATTTGCTTGTAATACCAGTTAGTTTTTTTTGGATTATAAAATATTTAGTGCCATGGCACAATTACATTTGCTTGAAGTTGCTTGTTCTTAGAAGCTACAGCCAAGTGGCTATGGAAGTGGGCTTTTCCATGGGCAATCATTGGATGATCACCACTATTTAGCTCACCATTAAAGAACTTGAGCTTCTAAGTTCTTATAATTTTTAAATACATTAGAGTGTAAAGTTTTAGATTCAATTTGTTCCTATAACATTACTAAAGTTACTAGGGGTTACAAGATTATAACCACTATCTTTTAAGATAGGGCTAAAGTTTCTAAATGTCTCAGGCCTATAAATAATTAAAAAGATTGACTCGAGAGATAATTTATAAAAGTTCAAATATAGAGGGAAAGGGCTTAGTGCAATTTTTTTCTAATTGGTTAAAGGTTTTAAGATATTTGGGGTTAAGTGTTCTTGGGTTTGAATAGTATTAGGCTATGTGACCTCCTAGGAAGTTTAAATTCAAGAGCTTACATTTGGTATCAAAAAAATCTCAAATCAAACTTTGTTGATTAGCTAAAAGAATCACACATCACATGTTAAAATTGATATTTGGTAGGTATAATTTACCTCTAACTGGGCTCAATCCAAAGGTAAGGTGAGGTGTCAAGAAAGTGGGGCTCTTGGGAGAGCTATGGCTCTTAGTTTTCATTCATAAGGGCATAAATTTGTAAGGAAGTATGGTGGATTATAAACAATTAAAGGGAACAATTTGAGAGATGATTTATAAAGGTTTAAATATAGAGGAAAAGGGCCAATGAATAAAAGTTTATTCCATTTTCCAATTAATTAAGAGTTTTGGGATATTTAAGGTTAAATATCCTTAAGTTTGACTCTTGGGAAGTCCAAAATAAACTCATGAGCTTAAAATATAAAGGACTTCCAACCACCTTCCCACTAATGATATATTAAAAATCTAGATTCTTAAATGTATTTTATCTAACTATCAGGTAGAAACATAAAATGTCCATGCCACCTTTACCACTAACACAGCCCAAATTATGAGGATGTATTCCATGATATTATATATAACTACCTTAAATTCAAGATACTTTATTTTAGTAAATCTTATGACTTGGTTATGTTCTTTAAACTCAATGACTCTTACCATATTTCTAGAAGAATTTAGGGAAGTAGAGGATTAAGCAAGTAGTGAGATTATAATTAAAATTTGTAAATAACTAATAACAAATATCACCTATTGCTTCTATTGCATTATTAATATTAAAAATTTAATTGTGAAGTCTAGTATGGTTATGATGCTATATACTAATATTAATGGCTGTACACTAGTGGGATTTTGATAGCTGTTAGATTGGTTTCAATTTGAACCACTCGCTCATATATATAAACTAAGGTTTTTGGGCTAATTAATATACACATTTTTATATTTCATTTCTATATTCCATGCATTTACATTATTGGAGGAAAGGGGTAACTTTGATTGTCCTTAAAGAGTGTTTGAATTTGGGATTTTGGTTTAAATTTAATTTTTGTATTGTCTATATCTCACTTTTCTTATAGCTTTTTGAACTTCTTCTCTTTTGCTTTTTTCCTTTTCATTTATTTTCATGACAAAATAACAACCTCCTCCTCCTTTAACTCTAGAGTAGCAATTGATATAGTTACTTGATGTTATGCGATTGTAGTTGAACAATCAAACTCAGTTAATAACAGCATTTAAGGCATGTAATATAACTCCTCTTGCTTTTACTACTAACCTTGTGTTCAACCAAAGTTCTTCTATAGGAATCCTAGGGATGATATGTATTATTGATTTAATCACTTTATAATGATTACCACATATCATTTTTAAGATGATGTTTAGCATTTGCGTGAGTTTCCCATATGTTTCCAAGGGACACCACTGCAATAGTACAATAATTTGATTGACTTATGTAGATTAGAATATTCTCCTAGACCTCTTTAAGCGTGCATTTGGATATGCCAATAATTGTGATATTAACTTTTAATAATTGCACTGTTTTTGTCAAGGGCCATTTGAGTTAATGATACAACTTAACATTCATTTTTGGAGTCTTTTGCTTCGTGTGGAGCTAAATATGTCAGAACGGATGAAGTTGGGAATATTATGGCTAGCACTTCATCAAAATCTTGTAGAACTTGTGCGTGCATATATTCTAGCCACCCTTGATGATGCCTTTCACTTAGCACAACATTATGAGATATTGCCTCTTCCAATTTTTATTAATTATCCTTTAACTTTACTTTTTGTAACTGTTCTAATGGAGGTTAATGCTACTATTATTCAAGTTCAAGGATAAGGGTGAGAACTTGGTTAAGGTTGTGGTATCCATTGCTGGGCATGTGATAAAACTAGTCACATTTATTGGTATTATTAGCGTTTTCTAGATTGGCATCCTCTATTTTATGGATGGAGAATAAGTCAATGACCCCTCCATTTTTCTTATAGGAGTATTATCAAAGGGTTCACTTAGCACTAGTTCATTCAATATTTATTTTCCAAACTTGTTTTTATAACAAGAAGTCTTTTATTATTCTCTTTGTGTTAATTGATATAAACTTGAGTTTATCTTCTATAGTTTAATATGTTACCAGATGTTGCTACCTAAATTTGCATTATATAGCAGAGCCAGTTTTTATTTTTTATAGTAATGGCCATACGCACGCATGTGCATGAGATGAGATGGACCTAGTTATGCGTGTAAGTGATCTTAAGCTTGAGCGTTAGTTATTGCAAGTGGTGTTTAGTCTAGTTTTTTATCTCATCTTTAATATAGATTGATTGTTGCACAATCATGTCAAGTTCGACTTTAAGGTTTATCCCCCTTATCTCATATATATTTCTTTCATTCCTTTCACTTTTGTTCTTTTTTGTCACTCTGCTTCTACCATTTTTGTTTTTCTGCTTCTATCATTTTTGTTTCCTTATTACTTCCTCCTATGTTTCTCTTTTGTTCTTCTATTTCCTCTTCAAATCTTTTTAATAGTTTTTGTGTTGTAATGGTTGATTGGCTCATAAAGGAGTTATAAGCTCCTAAATTTAGACTTCCCAGGAAGTCACCCAATTTAATACTATTCAAACCTAAAGATGTTTAACCCTAAATATCCCAAAACCTTTAATTAATTAAAAAAGGAGGTGTACTCTTATTCACTCCAAAAGTCCCATAACTTTCTCAAAAGCCTTAGTCTTTTGACACTCTACCCCTCGGGTTGAGTATAGATAGAATAAACCGAACTTACCAAATGTCAATTAATATATAGTGTGATTTTCTTAGCCTATCAATAGAGTTAGACTTGAAACCCCCTTTGATATTAAATGTAAACTCCTAAATTTAAACTTTCCAAAATGTTACCCATTCAATCCTAAGGACATTTAACAATACAATATTGCAACACTCTTAACCAATTAGAAAAAGAGATGCATTTTTATTCATAGGCCCCTTCTATATTTGAACTTTTATAAATCGTTTCTCGAATTGTTCTCATTAGTTGTTTACACCTTACTCCAAAGTGTGTGAATGATATGCAATGCTTCTTAGGCAAAATGTAATATCTAATCATATTGCACCATTATAAGCATTATTAAAGTTATTAACGTCTTCTTTCATTTAATCCATAGGCTGTGAATGGGTGTTTATGAATTCCAAAGAGTTGTTAATAACTCTTCTAATTTTAACATATCCTAACTATACTTAACCTTTCATTTTATGCGTAGATGCTTTTGATATTAATTTTAGAGGTGTGTTGATACAAAAAATCTCAAGTGTGTCTAATCAATGCCATCTCATTGCATACATTAGTTATACATTAAAATTAGTAAAGGTGAACTACTCCACGATAGAAGAGTGTTTAGTAATAGTTTAAGGTTTTGAGAAATTTCATGCATATTTTATGGTTCTCAAATATTATTAAAAGGTGATCATGTTGCAATTGCTTCATTATTGAAGTAGAAGAACTTGATTAGTTGTATTATTTGGTGGGTTTTGAAGCTTCAGAGATATGATTTTGAAGTTGTTTATTGCCTGGGGAGTTCTATAGCTAATGCTAATGTCTTTCCTTGAGCTCATCTTCCTTCTTCACTCTTTTTTTCATATTTCTAATAAGCTTATTATTCTAGTATTTGTGGATTTTTTGGATGAGGATTTTGTTTCGTCAACAGTTGCTTTACTTGATGTTCAATGTCCATAAGGTGTGGAGCAAGATTTACCTTCTTTTGATGAGGTTAATAAAGCTCAAGAGGGTGAATTGTGGATCCAACAGCTTTGTAATAGGTTTGAGAATCTTGCATCACTTACTAATAACTTATATTCTTAATATTGTCTTGAGGATAACCTTCTTTATTTTTGGGGATAGATCTTAATAATCATTTATAACTGATGGTGCTTTCGATCTTTATTCCATATTTTCTCCATATTTACAATGATTCTCCTATTCAAAACAGGCATATAAGACATTATCATGTAATAAAAAAGTTGTACAATTTTTTCTATTGACTAGAGATGCAATTTGATGTTATGCAATATATGCATAACTATATTTAGTGCCAACATGTAATACTCCTCTTTGTGCTACAAAAACACAAACTATAAAAGGATGGACTACAATTAAATTGGTGGATGAAAAGAATTGTAGTTTCTTATCTATTCGAGTTGGTAGCATTTGACTTGATAGTATTTGATTTGATAAAGCCTTTCTTATGGTTGATTGCTGGTAATAAATATATCATTATTGTTTTTGACCATTTAGCTCATTTGATGGAAGTCGATGCTCTTGCTAGTGCATTACAACTATTGTTAGATACTTTCTCCTCAATTGAGTGATGTTCTAGCATTTTTATCTTGAGTGAATTCTTTCAAATAATAGTCTTACATTTATGGTTGAGGCATTTCATATTTTAATATCTCAGTTGAGGATATACCACACTTTCATAAGTGTTTATCATTCATAAATAAATGATTTGGTAGAATGATTCATTTGAATTTTCAAAGGGATGATTGCGAAGTACTTGAATTTTTAACATCTGATTGGGATGGTTATTTGCCATCTCTTTAATATATGTATGTTAGAAGGGTACAAAGTTCTATTGGTGCTTCACCATATAAACTCCTATATAATCATGATTCAATATTATTAACGGAGTCGAGTTTATCTTTGCAATTACCACGAGTTGCTAATGTTAGGTTTTGGGATTAATATTTAACTAGCATTCTTCCACTTGTTTGAGTAGAATCTTCTGAAAACTTATGCTATATACAAGTGGGACTACAACAATGTTACAACTCTTATCATCATTCGCTTGCGGAGTATAAAATGGATGACTTAGTGTTAATTTGTTTTCCGATTTTATAGTACGTGGTTTGTTTAAGAGGCTCCTTGCTCAGTATAAAGAACTATATTAGGTGTTGTAGCAAGTTGGATTGCAAGTTCATGTAGCATAATATTTAATAGGCCAATCCTCCAAAAAAATTGTGAATGTACAATGACAAAAATGCTTCATACAAAGGGATTAGGAACAATTAATACCACTTACAGATCCACTAGTCCCTCCTCTTGATGTTCCTCCAAATCCAAAAGGAACGTTTTGAGAAACATCAAAAGGATGCACTAGTGGATTTGTAGGTAGTACTAGTTGACCAAGTCAATTAGAGAACCCTAATTGCCTTCCATCCTTTCAAGAAGAGCACTAACATTAGTATGGTGGGATTTTAATAGCTATTGGATTTGTTTCAGTTTAAACCACTCATGTATATAAGCTTTTGGAATAATTGATATGTATATATTTATATTTAATATCTATATTTGATGCATTTATATAATTACAAAGATAATTTTTTTTCATTTTTCTAGCCATCTAAAGCAAAGTAAACAACACAATTCATACTTATCTTTTTTAATAATTTAAAATTAAACTTTATTACTACTTGTAATTTTCTTAGTACAAGATTGTAGGTGGTGATTGTGTTAGAAAGGGCAAAACCCCATCTTCCTGACACTAACATTTCATTTATATTTGTATATGAAATTTAACTAATAAAGGGATTTTGATTTGTAATTTTGTTATATCTTTTCCTTTAGCACTAAAGGAAAGTATGTTTGTAGAATCCTAAAAATATGTCTCTAAAATTAGTAATATAAAGGTGATGGGCAACAACTGCATAAAACACAAATTTATGCTAAAGTTGATTCAAGAAACTAATTTTAGTATTACTCATTATAAAATCTTATATCATAAATAATAATATATTGTAAAACTTTAATTTATAAAAATTAAAATATTAATATAAAGTTTAAATAATATTTATAAGTAATAGCTATACATAAGTTTTTATACAAATAGTATTATTACTATAATGTAAGGAGAATTTACGAAAGAATTAAATCTAACATGACTTTATACATAGCTTATAATTTGCTATAATAAATGTAAATATACCATTTTTAACTTAGAAAATAAAAATAATTAATTTTTAAAATTTATGCTAAATATATTTTATTTTATTGGATATTAGCTCATTTATTATTTATAGTTTGAGAAAATCTTTTAACATATAACAATTAAGCATGAACTTTTCATAAAATAAGTCATTATATTATATAAAATCGTTAGTTTATTTATGTTTATATGATGACTTTAAGAAATGTTTATTTGAAGGAAATAGATTTAAATTTAGATTCAAGACGATATTAATAAAAATGTAATATTTTTTAAAATATCTAAAATTCATATGAAAATCATTTTTATGTATGCGTAACATCTTTTTCTAGTTTGAATAATTCCAATTGTAAATCTAATATCAATCTTTATTTAGATCATTTTAGATTAAAAGTTTATGTATAGAATAATATATTTATTTAAGCATGTATTATTTTGTATTTTTATTCTTTAATTTATTTTTATTATTTTAAATTGTATTTTAGTCATTATTTATAGAGACATATTTATTTTTGTAAGTGTAATTATTAATTTAAAAAATCCTAGAGAGCAATGTTTTTGTAAGAATATATATAATATTGATGTTAAGGTTGAGCTTCATTGTAAGGTGAATTTCCTTAAATTGGTGGCTTTAAATAAAATTGTATAGGTATTTATTATAATTATAAGGATATTTGGTCTTTTATGTTTTATTTTTTATAAAAATAATCCAAATAAAATTGTTGTGCTTGGGAAGAAGTATATTTGTAAATTTTAAACATATAAATGTAAATATAGAGGGTATTTTTGCTATAATTATTTTAAAGTTTATGCTTCATGAAAAGTATAAATTAAAATAATAAAAGTGCCAAATGATTAAGATATGAAACATATGGCCTGATTTAATGAGCAATAAAATTTTATAAATAAAAATTTTGGAAAACTTATTTAGAAATAAATTAAATTCACTATAAGCCAGTGTTTATTCTTCCATTAATACATTGACATTAGTTAACTATACTATTTCATAAGTTTATATATTTTTAATCTAAATTTATATTTATTAACAAATGTTTAAGTTGCAAAAAGTATTTAAGCACAACTGGAGTTCTCTGCATAGATGTTAGACAAGAGCGTGTAGGGAGTATCAAGAGCTTGGCGATGGAGGAGCACAAACTTGGAGGCCCTCTCAGCTCTAGCACGGTCACTATGCGTCTTACATGCGCTCAGCAAGATCGTCCAGGACACAAGATCAGGAAGAAACGGCATGCCAAGTATGAGCTCCTCGGCCTCCTGGAGCCTCCCGGCCCGCCCCAGCGCGTCCAGCACGCAATGGTAGTGCTCCACCACTGGGACGATGGCGTGATCCTGGATCATCGCTCGAAACTGGCGCACCCCCTGCGCCATCTTCCCGACGTGGCTGGCCGACGTGAGGATCGAAACCATCGTCACCGCGTCCGCCTCCATGCCCTCCAGCTCCATCACCCGGAACAGCTCCAGCGACTCCTTGTAGCGAGCGGTGCGAGCATACGCCGCGATCATCCCGTTCCACGACACCGTGTCGCGCACTGGCATGGCATCGAACAGCTCCTTGCCTCGATCCACAAGCCCGTGCTGGCAGAAGATCGCGATCATGGCGTTCCAAGGCAGTACCAAGCTCTTGTGATGAACCGGCATCGTCTCAAAGAGCTCCACTGCCGCCGAGAGCTGCCGGTTGTGCGCGTAGGCCAGGATCATCGCTGTCCAGGTGACCGCATCCCTGTCCGCCACCCCGTCGAAGATCATCTTGGCTCGATCCAGCTCGCCGTGCTGCGCGAACGCCGTCAGCATCGCGGTCTTGGCAACCGACGTTGGCTCCGGCATCCTCTCGAACAGAAGCTTGGCCGACTCGAGCTCCCCGGCCTGAGCATACGCCTGGATCATGGTCGTCCACGAGATCCTGTCACTCTCCGGCATCGCCTCGAAAAGCCCACGAGCCTGGCTCAAGCACCCGGCCTCGGCATTCGCAGAAACCATCGCGTTCCACGACACCACGTCCCTCCCCGACATCAGACCGAAGAGCTCCCTGGCTTGATCCAGCTGCCCGTTGCTGGAGAAGGCTGCGATCACTGCGTTCCACGACACCACGTCCGGCTCTGGGATTCGGTCGAAGAGCTCTTTGGCCTGGACCACCCTCTTGCTCACTGCGTATGCCTGGATCATCGAGTTGAAGCACACCACGTCCCACTCAGGCACCCGGTCGAAGACGCTGGCCGCGCTGTGGAGGTCGCCGTGCTGCGAGTAGGCTCCCAGCATCGCTGTGCACGACACCACCGTCCGGCTCAGCATGCTGTGAAAGACGAGCCTCGACTTGTGGAGATGCCCGAGCTGGGCATACGCCTGGATCATCGCAGTGCACGATATCAGCTCGTGCCGGGACATCTTCTCAAACGTTGCTCTTGCCTCGGCGGGACGGTCGGCTTGAGAGTACGCTGTGACGATCGCGGACCACGAGACGAAGTTGAGCTCGGGCATGGCGTCGAACATCCGCTTCGACTCGTCGAGATGCCCGGCTTGGGCATAGGTGGCCATCATCGCTGTCCAGGAAACCACGTCCCGTTGAGGCATCCGGTCGAACAGGAGCTTCGCCGGATCGAGCTCCCCGAGCTGGGCATAGCCTTGGACGATGGAAGACCAGGAGACTATGTCACGCTGTCCCATTCTCTCGAACAAGCACCTGGCGGTGGCGAAGTTCCCGTTCTGGGCATAGGCCGAGATGATGATGTTCCACGAGTAGACGTTGGGCTGAAAGATTGAGTCGAAGACCGAGCGAGCAGCGTCGAGGCTGTGGCATTTGCCATACATCTGGACGAGCAGGTTGGCGAGATATCTGTTGCTCCTGTGTGGGCTCTGCCGGATGCTCGAGTGGAGATGGCTGCCGAGGAGTAAGTCCCTGGCATTCCCACACGACTTGAGGAGCTCGGCAAAGTCGGAGACGGTGGCGTTGCTGAGGTTTCCATGGAGCCAGACTCTCATGCCACTTTGATCCTCCCTCGTCTAGACATATTTGATCCTAGGTGTAGAAACTGCAAGTAGAGGTTGTTACTAAGGCGCTAGAAACATCAAACTAGCCTTTGGTTTCTCGAGAAGAAGCTGGAGACAATGATACCTTCAAGCTCGGAGATGGGCGATGTTGGATCAAGACACTAGCAAAGCAAAAGATTTCGTCACAAGATCAAAACAAAAACTAAAACAAAATCTCACCTTGAATCACTACAAACGTTCTCAAGAGGAGCTAAAGTTCCCTGGAAGTGAAACAAGAGAATGGTCATGACAAGAGAGAGCGAGAGCCACAAAACTTACCGAGAAGAAGAAGAACTTGGCTTCAAGCTCGAGGATCCATTCCATGCTGCCACACGTAGACAGTCTCGTCCCAGGCGGTGCTCGCCAGCAATCCCTCGACGTGAGGACTCATGTCGATCCCAATCGCAAACTCGGTGTGATGGTCATACCGCGCGAGCAGCGCGTCCTCTGGAGCCATGTAGTCCCACATACACACCGTCATATCGTAAGAGCACGAAGTTATGACGCTGGCGTGGTGTGGCGAGAACTTGACCCTCCTCACAGCGTAGCCGTGCCCCTGGAGAGAGCTCATCTCCCTCCGGGGATTCCTCACGTCCCAAACTTTGATCGTCTTGTCCACCGATCCAGAGACGAGCACGCACTCGTTATACTTGCTCCAGTCGCACGCCAAGATCTCGAGCTGGTGCCCCGGGATGACGAGCGATGCGTGAGGATCTCTCACGTCCCACACCCGGAGCGTGCAATCCCCGGAGGCCGTCAAGAACACATCGGCGTGGCGCGGGTTCCACACCGCCGTGTAGACGCAGTACGAGTGCTCCGCGAACGTCCGGAGCGATCGCGGCGCGTCGATCGCCCACAGCTTGGCGGTGTCGTCCCAGGCGGAGCTGAGGAAGCAGTCCTTGCGGACGAGATTCCAGTCGACCGAGTTAACCTCGTGGCCGTGCTCCTCGAAGCTGCGGATGGGATTGGCGTGGCGGGGGAGGGCCGTGTCCCAGACCTTGACGCTGCCGTCGGCGCTGGCGGAGACGAGGATGTGCTCGTTGTCCTCGGCCCAGGTGCAATCGTAGAGGCCGTCGGCGGTGTCGAAGCTGCACAGCTCCGCGATGCCGCCCGAGGGATGGAGCTGGAGAACGTACTGGCGGCCGTTGCCGATGATCCCGAAATTCTGCGACGTCGCCACCGCCAGGAGCGTCTCGGAGAAGGGACTGAATTCCACCGAGTAGCCATTGAAGGCCGCCTTGAACGCCGGCATTCCCTGGCGCTAGAGCGAGCTACCTTGTGCCAAGAACCCTAAATTTCTTCAATGGGCAATCCGCCAAATCTTCCACGAATTGCTTGAACCTGGATTGATGATCGTGTTTGACTTTGCTGCAATTGACTATACCAAGCGATCGTGCTCTAGAATTCAGAAAGCAAGATCTCTATTCATGACCATACCCAGCGATAGTGCTCTAGAATTTCAGCAAGAACGAGCAAGAAAGAGCCCTAAATTTCTTTCGAATTGAGCGATCGTTCTAGCAAGAACGAGCAAGATTTCTATCATCGATCGTCGTGCAAATGAGAAGAGCCCTAGTGAATAGCATTTCTCCTATTTTATGATTCAGAGAGCCCTGATCAAGAGCAAGAGCGTCGACGATCTCGCGCAACTCATCCGCGCCGCCGGCGACGCCAGGGATCTTCCCCGAGCCGCACAGCTCCACGCCTCGATCTTCACCAACAGCAACACTCGGAGAAGCGATGACCATCGCTTCCTCGCGAATCTCTTGGTCCAGACCTATGGCAAATGCGGCAGCACCGCAGCCGCGCGCCAGATCTTCAACGCCACTGCCCAGCGCAACGCATACTCCTGGAACAACATCGTTACCGCATATGCCCAAGACGGGCATCTGGAGGAATCGAGCCGGATCTACGCCAAAATGCCCAAGAACAGCCCCATTGCGTGCTCGGCGATGGTCACGGCATTCGCGAAGCACGGCGATTTCCACCGCGCCAAGGCCCTGTTCGATGGAGCGCCCGTGCGAGATCTCGCGATGTGGAACTCCATGCTCTCGGGATTTGCCGAGAGCGGCGATCTCGCTGGCGGCGAGGCTACGATTGAGAGAATGCCGGAGACGAGCGTGATCTCCTGGACAGCCCTGCTCCACCTCCTTTGCCGCCTCGATCGCCTGGAGCTCGCCAAGGATATCTTCGATCGGATGCCCGGCCGCAACGAGCTCGCCTGGACGATCATCTTCCAGGCCTGCGCCGTGAGATCACTTCTCCTCGATGCTAGAGCTGTGCTCGATCGAATGCCCGCGCAGAGCCTCTCGTCGTGGACGGAATTGATGTCGCTCTACGCGGATCACGGCCAGATCGAGCAGGCCAAGGCCGTGTTCTTCGATTCCATGCCCGATCAAGACGTCGTCTCGTGGACAACGATGATCCGGGCGCTAGCGGCGCATGGAGGCTTCGCTGAGGCGGAGGAGATCTTTGCCAGGATGCCGCAGCACGACGCCATCGCATGGACCGCGATTATAGCTGCAAATGCCGAGAAGGGGGATCTGGAGAGATCGCAAAGGCTGTTCCATCTGATGCCGGAGAGGACGATTGTCACCTGGAACATCCTCCTCCACGCGCAGTCCAGAATCGGGGATCCAGACTCTGCGCAGCTCGTGTTCGATCGAATGCCGCAGCGCGATCCAGTGTCGTGGAACATCCTTGTCGCGGGCAGTGCCGCGCGGGGGCGCATCGATCGCGCGAGCGAGATTCTCGAGCGCGATGCGCCAGAGCGAAGCGTGACGCTCCTCAACACGATGATCACTGCGCTGGCAGAGCAAGGCCGGCCCGACGCCGCGAAGAAGCTCTTCGACTCCATGGCGGCCAAGAACATCGTGTCCTGGACGGCGATCATCGCCTCAGGCGCACTCAATGATCGCCTCGAGATTTCCAAGCTCGCCTTCCAGAAGATGCCGCAGACGAACCTCGTCGCGAGGGTCGCGATGCTCTCGGCCTATTCCCTCCGCGGCGCCATAGCCGACGCTAAGAAATCCTTCGACGCGCTAGGCAGCTGGAATGCCATAGCCTGGAATTCGCTGCTCGCCGCGTATTCCCAGCACGATCGCCTCGACAAGGCCGAGAGCTTGTTCCAGAGGATGCCGAACTGGGATTCTTTCGCCTGGACGACGATGATGACCGCCTATTCCCGTGCCGGGCTGCTCGATCTGGCACTGGGAGTCTTCGATTCCATGCCGGATCGCGATATTATCACCTGGAACGCAGCGATCGCTGCGTTTGGCCAGAACGGGCACCCGATCACCTCGATCCGCCTCTTCCAGCTCCTCATCCTCGACGGCGCCGAGCCAAACGACGCCTCCTTCCTGAGCGCGCTCACGGCGTGCAGCCATGGGGGCCTCGTCGCCCTAGGCCATTCCATCTTCCTCTCCATCGCGGCGGATCACGGCGCCGTGCCGAGCCGGCAGCACTACAGCTGCGTGATCGATCTCCTGGGCCGCGCTGGAAAGCTTGGCAGCGCGCAAGACCTCGTCAAGAACATGCCATTCCTCCCAAACTCCATCGCCTGGGGATCCATCCTGGGCGCGCTCAAGCTCCATTGCCGCCAAGACCAAAGGCGGGAAATTTTGCCCAATTTAAATGAGAGAACCATACAAATGTTTCAATCTTAGAAATTTTTGGAAGCTCTTGCGAATCGATCTGTGGAGTGTTCCGAAGTGTATAAACAATGTTATGTTAGAAGGAAGAACGCATTGTCTCGCGTCTATAAGTAGCCCATACTCTTTTTGTATTGGAGCTCCTCTTTCCAAGTGACAATATCAGCAATCCAGTCGCCACTGCCACTGCGCTGTGAAAAATCTGTGCGTTTCTTATTGCCAGTAGTTCCAAACACTGCAAACACAATAGATCATAGACCTTGTCACCAACTTGGAAAACTTGTCACAAACTTGGAGCGTACCTTCGTTTAAGCTGCAGCTATTTGCTCCCTTGAAGATCTTGTCCGGATCCATCTGGGCCTGTTTAGCTAGCTGAGGCAGCAGGTTCTCCTTGCTGCAAAGATCAACACGAAGAACTCTGTGAGAAAAAAGAGAAAAAGAGAAAACGAAGGAAAAAACAGAAAAGAAAAGCTTACTTTGCCCAACGCGGTATTGGCTTCACGGGCCTCTTCGGCTTCCTCGGATTTTGGTTCTCCTTGTCATCGTCGTCGTCGTCGTCAGAGGAGCTTTTGTAAGGAGAGATTTCGTAGGAGGCTGGGCCTGGATCTTCTTCTTCGTCTTCTTCTTCGTCCTCGTCCACCATCTTACCACCCAAAAGAGATGGGCAGAACTGTTGCTTGTGATCTAGCACGGCTGGCGTTCCCAGGTAGCTCTCAACACCATTCAGGCTCGTTTTGGAAGCGCTCAGTGAGACTGCCTTGCGTTGAGCCGTGCCACTCGGTACCCGAAGCGCATGGCCGAGCAGCCCGAGCGACTGTTCCCTTTGAACGTAAAGTTCTTGGCTGCCTGATACCTTCTCTAAAGGTCGTTGCTGCTCTTTCTCCAGCATTTTCATCCGTTGGAAGACTTCTTCTCTGCGCTTTTTCTCGGCCTCCCTGCTAGCGAACCAGTTGGCTTTCGTCTCCTCCGCTTCCCTCCTCCTCCGCTCTGCTTGCCTCTCCTTTTCTAACCTTTGCTCCTTCTTCATCCTCAGCTCATCATCAACTCTTCTCCGCTTGTTCTTCAACTCTTCGTCTTTCCTCCTCTGTTCTTCCTCCAGCTTCTTCAGTCTCTTTCGCTCGAGGTCACCCTTGACTTCTAAAGGTCGTTTGGTTGTCTTACCGCGCACGTCTTTTTTTCCTACCGAGACAAGAAAAATGTTAGCATAGGACAAGATGCGTGAAGATCGAGTAAGACAAACCGTTTGCGATGGACTTCTGCTGAGTAACGAGAGGGACAAATGACTTCAGGTTTGTCGCGATGGACACGGTGGGTTTTTGCTGAGTGATCAGTGGGAGAAATGACCTCATGTTTGAAACCAGGTTCTGCTTCAAGTGAATGCTCTCCTCTTCTTCTTCTGCAGAACCTGGTTCTGAAACTATTGTGCTGACAGCTGCTCTCTCCTTTTCGTTCTCCTGGAAGTTCGTTTGCTCCGTTATTAGCATAACCTCCAATTCTTCCTGGTCAGGTCCTACTTTCTCCTGGTCTAGTTTCCTTTCTTCCTCTACAGTTGCTCTGTCCTTTTCGTTCTCCTGAAAGTTCGTTTGCTCCGCTGTGCTGACAGTTCCTCTCTCCTTTTCGTTCTCCTGGAAGTTCGTTCGCTCCGTTACTGATTCTTCCTGGTCAGGCCCTGCTTTCTCCTGGTCTGGCTTCCTTTCTTCCTCTACACTTGCAATCGAGGCAGCTTGTTCTTCCTGATAAACTACTGTGCTGACAGCACTCTCCTGGAAGTTCGTGTGCTCCGTTACTATTTCTTCCTGGTCAGGCCCTGCGTCTGGCTTCCTTTCTTCCTCTACACTTGCAACCGAGGGAGCTTGTTTTTCTTCCTGATAAACTACTGTGCTGACAGCTTTCTCCTGTTCGATCTCCGTTTGCTCCGCTACTAATTCTTCCTGGTCAGGCCCTGCTTTCTCCTCACTTGCAGCCGCGGCAACTTGTTCTTCGCCGTGATAAACTACAGTGCTGACAGCTCTCTCCTTTTCGTTCTCCTGGAAGTTCGTTTGCTCCGTTACTAAATCTTCCTGATCAGGCCCTGCTTTCTCCTGATCTGGCTTCCTTTCTTCCTCTACACTTGCAACCGAGCCAACTTGTTCTTCTTCCTGATCAACTGTGCTGACAGCTCTCTCCTTTTCGTTATCCTCACCCAATTCTTCCTGGTCCGGCCCTGCTTTCTCCTGCTCTCTTTCCTCCTCCACATTTGCAACCGAGAAGGCAAATTGCTCTTCTTCCTGGTTTGGCTCCTGCTCTGGTTCTGGAAATGCTGTGCTGACAGTTCCTCTCACCTTTTCATTCTCCTGGAAGATCCTTTGCTCCTTCACTAGCAAGACACCACCTTCTACCTGGTAAGGCCTAGCTTTCTCCTGGTCTGGCCCTTCCTCCTCTAAAACCTTCTTCTTGAGACTTACGGGAGGAAGAAGTACCCGCATCAGCGAGTGCATCGAAGCCACAAAGTACTGCTTCTGCTGATGGAACTGCGCATCCGCATTCTCTATCGTCTCGAGGAGAAGGTGTATTCTCGCCTCCTCCATGGCTTCTAAACCTTAGCGAGCGCCCAGCCTACTCTGATTCTAGAGATATTTCACAGCGCAAGCAGATCTTTACCGGTTCTCGCCGCCCATACCCTAGCCCGCCCACCCGGCGCCAAAGCGAGCTCCTCCACCCCTCGCCATAGCTTCGCTCCTTAGGGCAAGGTAAAGAAAATGCGAGAGAATATTCGTACGAACACATCCGAGCCGTCCGCTTTAACGCGATCGACGGCTCAGGGTGCTCTTACCGTTACAGCTCCGAGTACTTTAAAGTTTTTTGGAGAGAGAAGAGGGCGCCCTGGATTTCGATCATGCGTAGCGATGGCTGATGCGATTCGCGGGGAGGAAGATCCCAAGCTGCTGGATTCGAGAGGCGGCCGCCGCGACCACAGCGCCGATCGCCAGAAGAAGCAGCGGAGGGTGGATGCATCCAGCAGCCGTGACGATGGCGAGGCGACCGAGAGCTCGGAGAGCTACAGCGACGACGACGAGAGGTACGTGAGGAGCAGCAATAGGTCGTGGAAGAAGAGATTTGGGCCAGCAAAGAAACGATTCATCGATGCGGATTATCAAGAGGTGTTTCGAGCTCCACCGTTTTGTTTCCAAAAGAGAATAGCTCGGATCGATTGGAGGACACTGCATGCCATCGAAGTGGATGGACTCATCCAAGAAATCGGTAAGAATGTAGGTCCTTTGATTACTTTTTTTTGTTTTTTTTTTAATTTGAGTTATCTTTGTAGACATTGGAAAACTAGAGACTGTTCTTGATACTATAGCGTTTGGAGACATCCAAGGTGAAGATACTCGTAACTTCACCGAGCAAAACTTCATCAAGCTTTTTCGTCTTGCTCAATTGATGGTACGTGAGACTTCTACTCTAGAGGAATTTTCTTTTCCGACGATTTTAACTTAGCAGATCGAGTATCTTCTTCATGTCCAAACTGTTCTAGCGGATCAAAAATCACAGTTGATCGGTGCCGTATCAGGTGCTCGGAGAAAAGGTGAAAAACTGAGGCTGCGATGTCTCTGGCAACACGACGCTCTAAAGCAGTCCCAGAAGGATTTGAAGCATGCCAGAAAGGTGCATTTGCTCGACATTACAATAATGGTTTATATTTATATTGCAGACACTAAAAACTTACGAGGGTCTTTTGCGTTCCAATGGAAAGCAAGCTGCTGTCCAACAGCAGGTTAGCACCGAAAAAGAAATTAAAAACGAACGCTCTAAGAACTTAACTTGACCCAGTTCTCATCACTCAGCTCTGGGGATGTGTGTTCTTGAGCTCTTGCTGTTGGTGGTGAACTATACAGGTGCACCATTGTCCTTGCTGTGAGAAGATCTTTGAATCTTCATACTATCTTGTAAGTAAGAAAGGTCTTCCTTTTTCTTTCTTCTCTGACGTTGCTTTGTAAACAGGATTTGCACGTATCGAGGAGACATCCAAGGCCAACAGATCGCTCCGAGCGAGCGGATGTTCGATCGGAGAGAGTATCAGAAGAGAGAGCCCCTGTCTGTCATCCACCAGTTGCAAGAAGTGTTGAGAAATCTGCCGCACAAGTAAGGATGATCTTCCATCTCTGATTACAACTTAATTATGCTTTTACCTACAGGTAAGAGCTGAAACTGAAGCAGTTTTACAAAGAGAATTTGAACGACAACACGGAGGAGTTTCACATGTAAATTCTTCTCTTTCTTGCTTTTTTCCTACATGTCTTTTGACTATCGCAACTTCAGCATGACGACAGCAGATCTGGTGGTGCTCAGGTAAAAAACGCAGACCATCTATTCTTTCTAAATTTTTTTTTCGTACAGGTGAGTTCTTTGCATCGAACTCTACATGACAGCGGGAGTGAATTTGACGAAGCTGATTACCAACTTGGCCTTCCTTACTCACAATCTCATGCCACTCCTGTAAGCGTTTACCTTTTATTCTTTTTCATTTCTATGACACTACCACTGTCGGTAGAGGTTGCAACGAAGAGATGACTACGAGGTTTTGGAAGATGCTGGAAATGTATGGCAATAAGAATGTTCTTGCGAGTGTTTCAACGAGCTAATTCTTCTGGCTTTTCTGCAGAGGCTGAGTGACTTGGAACGGAAGTTTGAAGGTGTTGAACATCAAATTCACCACCTCAATAAGGTCACCTAAGAATGTTATCAAATCCTGTTCTCTAACTTTGAGCCACCCACACCAGGAAAATATCAAACTGAGAACTGAACTAGACGCAGCTTACCGCGAGGTATATCGTAATCGATTGTATTTTACTTGTTCTTATCATGCTCACAAACAGCTATCTGCTTTGAGATCTGGAAAACGTCAAAGAATGGGAGACAGTCCTCAGGTGCTAAAGGTCAGAGATCTAGAACTGGGACTCATGTTTTCTTTGTATGCATAGCTTGAGCTGGAGAAGAAGGAAAAGCAGCTAATCAAGTATATGAAAAAAGTAAGCAAGTTAGTAAGATCAAAAGTACAATCTAAATAACTTCACAGAACGAAGGAAAATCGTCCGGTATCGAAGACTTCACCGTGCAGGAGCATGCAAGAAATGCCAAGTCCTTGAGCGTAAGCAAACATGAAACTTTTCGTGCACGTAACTCTGGACGATCCACAAATAACAGGACTGGGTTAGCGACACGGATGATAGATACAGCGACCTCACCATGGGAATCACCGAAGAGTTTCGCGATCTCGAGCCACCCGAAGATGCAAGGCTAGTGATTAAGTTTTCTCTCTTCCATTATAGTTAACTAATGGAAACTGTGCAGGAGCCGGCACTCGGATGAATCGGGACGAAGTAGCGCAGCTTCAAGGCGAAAGCAGCTTGTTGACGTTGATGACGGGACTCCAGTGTCGGACAAGGAACGCTGGGTGCAAGAGCATCAGTATGCCCCAATACCAGAGAAGTGAGTCTGGCTCTTTGACTCTTTGCTTTAACTTCTTTGAACTCCCTTCTAGGCCTTATGCTTTGTCCAAATTCCCACACGGTTCGTCTACAGTGAGTACTATGCATGGAAGAATGGCCGCGGTAAGAACAAAAGCCCCTTTTTACTTCGTTGTGTAAGCTTACGTTTTATATTTTGTCTAGCAATTCGAACAGAAGCTGAATGCCGAGCTGAAGAAGTTTGGGATCTCAGCAAACTCGAAAGGAATCAGGTCCGTGTTTGAGGTTCCCAAATCAAATATATTGTTCCGAACTTCTCTTGTATTGTAACCAGTGACGAGATGCTCAAAGCGGCACTATCAACACTAGAAAGGCAACGAAGAACTCGCTACTGTGACGCTCCACCCGATGACCGCAGGATCATGGAGTACGAGAGAAGCACTATACAATGGCATATTGAGGTACAACATACTATGCTTGGCTGGATAAAATTGATCGTTTTTAAATAGAGAGCTGTACGTACCCGCGACACGGATCGCCTGGAATCAATTTTCGAGGAAGAGTCAGAGCCAGAGGACGTTGCTTCTGTTGTATCAGACGACGAAATCTCTGAAAGAGAAGTGAGTTCAAGTTTTCTACGTTAAATTCTCACTCTCCGTCTCGGGCTTTATGCAGGAGCTTGAAGAGCGGGCGAGCTCGAGACCGTCACCGTCGTATGGAAAGCCATCACCATCCTACGGTCGTCGCACGCCGTCGCCGAGATCCTACGGCCGGCGCTCACGCTCGCCGTCGCCACCGCAACCTCCAAAGTCGAGAGGAGGGGGACCGAGCTCGGGATTTACCGAGCAGTTTGTGTCCAAGGCATTTTCGTGGCGAGCGGACGACGAGTCCGAGTCGCACACGTTTAGAGTTACTGGCGAGGTGGTAGCGCAGCGAGTTAAATCCCCCGGTGGAGGAGGAGACGTTCCACACAGGATTGTTATATCGCCAGTAGCCAGTCCAGTGAGTGTTAGTCGGGGGCCGGCTCCTATCTTTGAGGACGAGCAAGTGGAGGAAGATTTGGGACTGGGTGACTGGGACAGCGACGATGGAAAGAACACGAGCAGTCCAAGCCCGAGAAGTCCCGAAGTTGCGAGGTAAAGAGCTTTAAGTTCTTTAGAGTGTTCGCTTTGGTCATGAGCTCTTGATTTTTCCAGGCAAGTTATGAGAGATATACAGTCGAGAGTGGAATCTCCTTCCAGCTCCAAAGCCACAGGTTTGTCATCTCGTTATTTCTTTGTTCGTTCTTTCTTGATTTGCAACTTGGTGCAGCTAAGCAAAAAGGCAAGCAAGCAGCAGCTGGATCTACCAAGTAAGAAACGCTGGTGCTTCTCCTACAATGCACAGAGTTCTAACTTAGCTTTTCAATTGCAGCAAGTCCAAGCAGCACGCCAGTAGTAGCAATGCCAGTGATGATATCAAAATGCTAGACGAACTTGATGCTGAAATCAATGACATAATAAGATGAATCTTAGTATCATTCATCCAAGAATCTAAAGCTCCGACTGTCAATCAATCGAAAGGCATTGAAAAACTCGCGCGAGAACATGGTTGACGCAATGCAAACAAGGAGAGAAAACTAAAGTTTCCGCAAACCACAGCGCGTTCCCTCGAGCACAGGAGACTACAAACACATACATGGAGATGCCGGGTATCGATCCCGGTGCCTCTCGCATGCGAAGCGAGCGCTCTACCATCTGAGCTACATCCCCTTACCACAGGAGGTAAACCACAAAGCTAATATATTTACTGGCCAGACAAAATTTACAAATTTGATCTATCCGAGATCACTTACATCATGTTAAAAACTGGCGTCTTGATGAAGGATTCCGTGATCACCAAGGCCAGGAAACCAAGCATGGCAGTCCGCCCGTTCCAGCGCTCCGCCATGGCATTAAACGGGCCCAAAGCTCTGCTATCGGGGCTCTCTCCCTTAAACATGGGAACCAGCGACGCATACGCAAAGAGTTGTGCCACCATCAAGAAGTTAAACAAGCCAAAGTTGCCCGGCGTGTAGAGCTGCTCGAACACCGTTTGTCCCGTTATTCTCTCCACAGCAAATGCCCACACAATTCCAACCATGGCCTGTATCAATGGAAAAAAATCTTAGAACAAGGGACTCTCCACGGATCCAGGAACTTACCAGTCTGCCATTGATCGTCTCTGGGCCAGCGCCATCAAATGCCATCAAGCTGGGGAACGATCGATCGCCAGTCTCTGGCCGCCTCTCGATCTCCGGCCTCGGCCACATTGCTCCGGACGATGGCACAGCTCCAAACACGGACTTCTTCTCCGACTCATTCTCTGCCTGGTTCTTGAGCACACCCTCGCGGCTAATATTCTTCTTGGTCTGGTCCAGAACGCTGCTGATGCCATCGCCTCCTGCAGGACCTTTGTCCGAGGAAGCTCTCACTGGCAGCAAAAATCCCAAGGAGCGAGTGGATCGGGACTTGTGAGCGGAGGCTCCTCCCAGAGGAGTTTTAGAGAGGGAGGAAGGGAGTGCCGCAAGGCTGCTGGCTAGGGCCATGTTGCTCAGGACTAAAAGCTACAAATATTTGGACCTGGAAAAAACTTCAAATGAATTGGATCGCTCAAATCGAATGTGTGGATCGCAGGATGGCTAGACTGTTCTCGGTGCTGGAATTTATACGAATCGGGGACCACACGTGGCAAGATCCCTGCCAATGTAGTGTCACCAAAGCATCTCTTATGTGTCGTAAGGTGGCGCGCCTGTACCGTGAACACTATTAAAGACGATGTTACAGCTGCAAAGTCAAATGGGGCTTGCCACTTTGGCATAGTACGCGTACAACTGAAGACCCTAAGTTTCCATTCTTGTGTTCAAGACCACATAAAGTTTGAAAGAAGAACGAACAAAGGTACTTTGGCAAATCGAACCCCAGCACCTGCCCAAACTCCGCGAGAGCACACATGCTGCATGGCACGTTTCTCTTGTAGCGTGGCATTTTCTAATCCATTCATGCATTTATACTGTTTACGGGCCTCGCCCCTCAAGAAGCATGAGACTGAAAGATTCCAATACTGTTCATATGGTCGCCTCTACTGTGCGGCAGCTGATGTCCTCAGCTGTCTCCACCTCCGTCGCGGGCCTTGGTCGTCCTGTGACGCTTTTGCATGCATAGGGGTTAAGGGAATATTCGCACATATTCTTGATATCTGTCTTTATTTATTTTGTTTATAACAAGAAAAAACCACGGTCATCTCTTGCCTGTGTAGAGCTCGAAGTGGATAAAGCGGCCAAATGGTGAATATCGGGAATAAAAAGTGCTCAC